CCAACGTAACAAGCATTACAGCCTGCACATACAAATTTGTAAACGACACGCGAACGGAGACCAACTGGGATGGGATCTTTAGCTGAAAACAAATTTTTAATTTTAAATGAGGAAAATACAATTTTTAAGTTTAAGTCATCACAGAATTCATTCGATAAGGCACGGATTTTCTTACTAAGGACTTTGGAAAATGTGCCGACATAAGGTAATTTGAAATAAAAAGTGATTGGTGTATTTTCTTTAGTGTTATCCAGTGTACTTTTGCATTTACATTGAACTGAATTAACATAACGAAAAATAATTTGATCAATGAGGTATGAAGGAAAACAATTATATATATATAGTTGGTGCAATGTTACAATCTTTAATTCCAGTATTGTTTAATTGTTCCCATGCTTTTGGAAGAGCATTATTGCCTTGATAGCATTCTGTTAACAGGTTTTGTTTCATTTTAATAAAACACCTGTATAAATTGTCGAATTTTTTAAGATTATTTTCTGCAAATATTGTGATGTTTTCTGTAAAGAGTAACATTCTTGCTTCTTTAATAATTATATGGATTTAGCAATGATTGTTTACAGGTACTAAGTCTACATGGAAAAATTACAGTGCGATAGCACAGAAAAAAATGATATGGTTGCAAAAACAACCACCCACTGTTAATGTGAGAAGTAAATGGCCAGGAAAGGCAATACGATTGTTCAAAATGGTGTTTATTTACTTATCCTAGCGTTCACTTTGGATTGTAAGCTTTGAAATTTAAGTGATCCATCATAAACCTTGCTGGCCCTAACATCGCAGCGTAGTTCGCGGGTCGAAGACAATCATGCATACCTAACAATACCGTATTGTGCAGGGGCCTAGGCCTAACATTTGTCGAAAAATCTCAATGTTTGCGGCCAGTATCCTTTACAGCACTAGCAACACATTAAGGCAAAATTCTTAAGTTTAATTTCCAATCAATTTGGTATAGTTTACTACGAATTATAATGATCTTTACAGCAATAAACAACGGACGGCCGCGATAGAAATCGCCATGTAAAACACAGCTGTTTCAGTGGATTGTTTTTATCCAACCAAACGCCAAAGTTAGGTCACGTGACGCCTATCGCTAAATCCCTCTATTTATTTATATAATAATAATAATAAATAATAAATGATAATAATGATAATAATAATAGATGGATTTATATAGCGCAAATAAACGAGGTCTCTATTATTAATATTATTATTATTTTTATTATTATTATTATTATTATTATTATTATTATTATTATTATTATTATTGTTGTTGCTGTTGTTTTACATTGGGAGTTTTATTCCATTGAAATTGTTACACTGTCTACTTTTTACAGCGAGAATTTCTACTCCAACAATAAAAAAAAAGAGGGTGCCTAATGGATAAACTTTGTACACTACGATTCACGTCTACAACTTGTAATATCCATCCGTTATGGTAAATACAACTTTAAATACCGTTTAAAACATGGAGAACGTTCAAACTGAAATCCCTATTAATACTGTAAAATCTTTTACGATAGTCAATAAATATAGCTGCACCTTGGAGTGACATCATCAATTAATCTAACATTCTCCCTAATATACCTGAATGTTTAAATTATAAAAGAAAGTGTTTTTGCGGCTGTTTTACAATCCGTGTTTAATATGGATATACAATCTCCAAGAAAAAAGGAAATCCAAAGTCCTTAGATAATTATTATTATTTATAGCCATTATAATATAAATACCAAATTGTAAATATCAGACTTATATTTATGATTAACACTTTTAACTAAAGTTTAAAAAGGTAATGCTATCCCCACTGGACACCATCCCGGTATTTCTTGTCCGGATAAATGAAATTAAGTATAAATAGGTATTATTAGGTTTGACTGTAGTATAATTTAGAAAACCCTTGCATATGTCTGTATCATGTCTACTGCACTGGACCTCAAATTTGGGTACAGTGTGTAGGCACAGATGTAGTGCGAATGTGGTTGAAATGAGGTGGCATTGGCTATTAGAGTAGGCAGATAAAATATTTAATTGTATCGGTTCGAACATACTTCAATTCATTTACATAAACTACAATATCAAAAACAACAAACCAATTAAATGTCTTACAAATGTCTTTACTTTAGATTTCATAGTATTACGCATGAAGTTGTCATTGGCAACAATAAATAATTGGCTATAATAAACATGTATTTTTGGTATAAATTTTTATCAATTTTAGTATATTAAAATATTTGGATTTTACACAATCTAATTGTTAAACTAACAATTAAAACACAAATGATTAACGCCTCTGTTTTATACACTGTTTATCAATGCGAGTGAATCCGGTGTCTTCTTCATATTCGAAATCACGTGACCTTCTTTGAATGCATTGCTGATCTTTCTTTCTAATGCAAACCCGAAAGTGACTGACTGTGAAAAAAATAATAACATTATCATCATCATCTATATCAATATTATTATTATTATTATTGTTAAAAACAAATATATATGTTCTGAAAAAGTGAATAAAGCAAGCAGACAGGATTACTAATATAATGGTCGAACATCATAACTTTTAAGCAAACAATAATAGTTTTACTATTACTTACCTGATTTTTTTCTCCCACATAGGCTTTAGTTTCATCATTTCCTATGTGTGTTTTTTTTATTTCAAAAACCTTTTTCTTGTCATCAGTTTTCAGGATTGGTGGCTTTGTTACAATTGTGTAAATATCAGCTAAAAAATAAAGTATAAAATACATCAAAAACCTAAATTCCATACACCGCAGTAGGAATAGTTTATCTCAAAACTGATAGACCCTAAAACATAACTGCACGGTGGGTTATTATGACCCATTTTAACTGCAATTTTCGTTCAAACAATAGTACCAAAACGGCAGTCTCGTTCATCATGAACTATTGTATTCTATACTGTCCTAAACAAACAATCCAAAACAGGTTGCTGAATATGGTCGTTTGTGAAAAGGGTACTGTCCAATTCGAGCTCCGTAGCCAAGACCTTCCGATTAACATTTCCAGTTCTCATGGCATTTCAGATGTCCATGATTTTCAGACATTTTTTATTATTTTATTATACTTCCCCGGTAAAAATAAATACTGGTCTCCCTCCTATTAAAGACTACTTCTGAAATCGGAGTCCCAATGGTCTTTAGCAGCTTTGGGTCTCTAATAAGAATAATAAAGGAAAAAATAATTTGATTTAGGATTACATAAAAGACTTTAATTAGAGGTAGTCCTCAATTGGAGGGGTCTTTAATTACAGGAAGACCTGTATGCCTAATCTATGATCCTTTTTACACGAACGTTGATGGGCTGTTTTGCCCAAGAGAGCTTAAAGTATTTAAACAATTCTGAGACAAGATCAAGTGCAAATGACAAAATTTTGTATTAACAGATTAATGCACTTTAATTTCGAAACTACACAAAGTGACTATAACTATTGTCCCATGCACCAAACTTTCTAAATTTAATGTTTAAAAAAAATGACCAAAATTTGCCTAAAAAATATAACCAAACACTTAATGGAATTAAGCCATTTTGCTATCTGATTTGTTGTGTTGCTGACAAAGAAGTAACATTTTAGGCAGTAGACGGGACAGCTCGAAAATAAGAAAAGTTGTTTTAACCTAGTACTTCATTTTACCATAGTGTCTTCTGTCTATTTTAAGGAATATCAATCGTATATGGATGTGAATACAAAGAAGAACTTGTTATAATTGTTCCCTACATACTATTCATCTGGTCGTATTACCAAGTACCCCAATCTACTCACATCAGTCTTTCCTATTTATTGAAAGGATCAAAAGTCGTATATGGATGTGAATAGACTCCGGAACTTGCAATCAGCCAAAGGAACAGTTTAGAGGAATAAGCACAACCAGGCTCGTGGACACGATGTTTCATGATAGTAAGTATATAAGACTTTTGGATGCTAAAGGGTGACAGTGCGTACGGTGCTCAAGCGAAAACGCTTAGAACAAATCTACAGGTTTACAACACGCCATTACTGAATGCTATCCAGCAAAAATATAAACATAGCAAAGACAGAAGCATAATGAGTTACCAGCTACAGTACAATCTGGAATGTAGGCCTATGCTATGCATATAATTACCTTGTGTAAATTTTAATCTTGGACGAGATTGCGGTGGTTGAATGTTACCCTTAGCTTTTGTTATTAGGCTCTGAGTTCTCAGCATATTGGCAGCTTGCTTCGAGATCTTCGGCGAGGACGATGCTTTAAGTTTACTTGGAAGTTGGTCTTTATAACATTGCTTTGCTCGATCATCTTGTCGATACTGCGTTTCCTGTATAAGATATTTTACAATAACGTTTAATCTATATATAGCGAGGTGTTCATACCTAGCAGGAAAAAATGTGTTATTCTTATCCTTTTTACTATTTGTAATCATCGGCGCAAGGTATTTAAATTAATGGAAAAACATTAGACTAAAAATGTCTGACCTGCATACATGTATAAGAGACAGGCTGTATACAGATAACATTCATGTATGCTGAGAAACAATCAACATTTGTTATACTATATCTATGGTATATCTAAAGTTGATATATTATGTATATATTATAATATATACCGTACATATATATAATGTTTGCCAATAAAGTATTCATTAACAATAAAAGTTGTTACACATCGACAATAACCTACTTATTCTTTACTTACCTGTTTTTCAAAACACATGTTAACTGTTTCTCCACGAGAACAGGGAGTTGCATCTTTGAGTAGCTGGAACATCTTCAAGCCAGAGCTGCGCAGTTCTTCTTTTTTGCATTCCTTACATGACACCGATGAGCAACTGTTTGAAACGTGGTCAACTTCAATCGTAGGTTAGAAAAAAAATATACAACGTAAACAAATAAATATTGTTTGCTTGTTGATCATTGTTACTCTTTGCTTCTTCAAAAAGCACATTGCATAATAATTGATGATTATAATAACAATTTAAAAAAGGTCTTATAATGGTATTTATAAGGTAGACTTTTGTTTAATCCAGAGAAAAATTAATTACTGGCGTTATACAACATTGGACAGTGATTAAAATGAGAACATTTTAACAACCAATCCACGGGTTGGTTCAATCAAACCATTATGAAAAAAACATAAACCTAGAACTTAATACATTAACTGATTTACCTGTAGGATTATATTTTTTCATGTTGATTTGCTTGACTACATTTGGTGAATTTGTTAAAACGTTTGCTTTCCGTGGGGGTTGATGTTGAATTTGACGAGCACTGCAAGTGGCTGGATTAGCTGAAACAACACTGGAAAATCAAGAGAATGATACATAGGCCTGATGAACATTGTGCAGTTTAACATCGTTTATAATTTATAGTAGCTTGTCGTATTTGTCTTTAGGTATAATTGTATTTTTAGTATTCCGTTATCCAATGTCAATTTCTGCATACACCCTATGTATACCGAATGGATACATGAAATTAAATATAACAAAAGATATAAAGTGAAAGGTAAACAAATACATCGGACACCAAGTTTTAATTAATGTTGCATTGTGTTGTGTGGCATAATATTCGCAACGACAAAGGCAGACCTGATGTTAATATTAAGTAAATGACAAAAAAGTTTGCATTGTAGGTTCTTTTTTTTCTGTATGTTTCTTACCGTATATAATTTTCTGGAATATTATGGTATACGTTATTTTTTGAGACTATAATCTTAACCATATTTGCATCTTTTTTCTCTTTGTCTTTGGTTGACGTTCTTTTCTTCTTCCAACAGATTCTCTGTGGCATTGGACTCTGCAAAATATTCTGCTTTTCTACTGGCACATATTGTTTAGAAACAGACATTTTATCTGTGCCAGGTTGTATCGACACTTTAGGAGCTTGTAAAAGAAGTCTAGTTGGAGGCCTTAAGACATTTTCCGAGGAAAGGGTCGATGATGATAACCTTGAACTGGCAAAATCTCGATCAAAATCGTCAACATTGCTCCCTCTAGTTGAAGTACTAGCACGCGATTCTTTCAACTTTAGAGCAAGTTTTGGTTTGAATTCATTAAACGAAACACGGGAGGTATTCTCTGATGGGTCGTACATAGTAGCAGTACGACTCAGCTGATAACCATGTTTGAAAGTCTTATTCATGTAGATAACACTCATTTCATTGGATCTAATTGCCTCGTTCTTTGGTAGGTTTGCATCTTTTGAGAACTGGACATACTTTTTGTTCGTAATATCTGGCGTTTTAGTTCGGAAATGATTCGTAAAGGAAGGTCTAATGACTGATGGCGTTGCGTTCTCGAAGATCTCATTCTGATGTTTAAATGTGGTTGAAGGTTTATTGTCTGGTTGCTTTTTAATCGCTTTCTGGTCTGCATCAGCCATATCGACAACAGCCAGCATTGCCAATGTTGCCTCTGGTTTCGGACACACCTTCTTTTGTGTTTTCGTGGCAGGTTTCTTGGTGTCTCGTTTTGCTGGAGTTGAATGTTCCCAGATATATTTCCTGGTGTTACCTAAATGACCTGTGTTTTTCGGAATCGGCGACTTGCTTGGCTGACAGGTAGCAGTTGTTCTTGGTCGTTGATAATGTTTGCTATTTTTGTTGTAGCTTCTTGCTATTATGCTGTTAACTGTTGTGGCATTTCCTATTGGCTTCGTCTAGGGAAACACAATGATGATGAGAAAACTAATTTCTGTAAACAAAATCGTTACAACTTTCAAAGATTACATAATATATTAATATAATGTGGTATAGTATTATAATTATATATCATTTTAATTATATGCAGAAAAAAATACATTCATCTATCTCTACATGCTGAAAAATTATATAATGTAAGTTTATAGTGAGTTCACACCAGAAATCAACTCACAATGTTGGTAAGTTAAAAATTGAGTAATTAGCTAAATTTATAAATCACATTACAAATTTCAATTTGGTCTTTAAATGATTTTCCTATGATAAATACATCCAGTGATGTGAGTGTCAATAATAAGACTACAAGTACAGAATATGTACTAAATACTTTTATAATAAGACATTTAACTCAATAAGTACACTATAATAAATATAAGTACCTTGATATTCAGAAACAATGGAATCAATAACAGAGCACACAATTTTGACTTTTACCAATTGGGTGATTACCATATCCCAAAATCATCCTACAAACGAGGTGTTTTTTTTAAGACGTTTAGTGGAAAATGCTATGTAATACCCAGAATTATTATAATTAATAAAATCATATTTTACAACGTTTTGAAGGTCATTAATAACTAATAATAATATACACATACTCTGAACCATAATAATTATTAGTACTTACGTTAATACCTGTAGGTGGGCATATAGCAGTACGTGGTCTTCGGCTATGGTGCAATACAATAAGAGAAATATTGTTATTATATTACTATAAATCATAATTCATGTTAAGTTGTAAGATATTGGAACCTATATAATATGCTCATACAATACAGGCATACTTACCTCAGTGTTTCTGGACAGTTGTTGTTTAAAACAGCTAATTCAAAATCCAAATTATCAATAGGTTGCCTTTGAAATATACATATAATATAAATATCAATAGGTTGCCTTTGAAATATACATATAATATAAAAAAAAAAACATTACTGTACAACTCAGTAGGCCTGTTTCCTCAATATGACAAAAATTTACATATATAATATTCATTATTATTATTATTATTATTATTATTATTATTGATGTTATAGTGGTCCTATTTATTGTTTCATATAGTACAAATTCACAAAATTTACAGCATTCATTTTGAAAAGAAGTACCCCCACCCCCTCTTTACTTTGCAAAAGTGGCCTCGAAAAGAAGCCCATCCAAAGTCCGCAAAAAAAATAAAATAAAATAAAAAATAAACACTGGGCTTCAATTCGAGGTTTTACGGTAGTTTACTACGGACGTACTGTAACCTTACTTTGTTGGCGTGTGGTTGGTATATTTCACCAATCCTACTACCGCTGGCGTCGTCGGTCTTGGAATAACTTGTACGTCTATTATGAATATGAATAAAAAATATATAATATGTCTAAGGCACATGGAACATAAATGATATACCGTAATAAGGGGAATAATAATCTACCGTTACCCATGGTGGGTGACTATCCGGATATGGGCAAATATCCAGGGTAGGTAAAAGAAAATGGGCAAAGTTTTATTTAATATTCCATATCGTTGAACTGTTGTGTGTAATAAAACATCAGGGAATCATCCGACGAGGAAGGAAAAAATAAGGAAAGTGAATTTACTAAAATCGTTACCTCTGTATAGTGACAATCTATGGCCCAATAATAGGCATAATTAATATTAGAAAGAGGCGGTTTATACAGAAATTTGAATTTTTATTTAACATATTTTAATCAAGTACGGTTGAAGTGCTACCTTTTCATATATTTAATGAATGTTCAAGGCATTGTTTACACTTTGTAATACGCATCATCTAGTAAAAACTATCTATAGTGGGCCTATTTGGTATTTAAAAAAAAATGCCCCAATAAAATCCCATTAAAATGTCAAACCCCATGATAGTTACTCGGGGCTAATAAATACAGTAATAATAATAGGCCTATTTTCTGTTTACAATGCATTTAGATTAACGAAAGAACAGATGTAAATTAAAGGTTTGCAGAAAAAGAGTGAACTACGGTATGCAATATTTTGTAGATGTGCCATTCCTGAACACCTTTAATTTCATATTAACCCTACCAGTTCAAATTAAACATTTTATACCTTCGTTGGTATCTTCAACTTCATTATACTTAGGACTTTCTGGTAGTTTTACTGGCGTGTGGTGGGTCGTGGGTTTCTTCAGGGTGTGATCACTATCAAATAAGCCCTTCTTCTTCAGTAAGTCGTCAACCAGGATGTTATAGATGGCGCTGTATTCATCTAAACTATAGTCATGGACACGCTGAGAAATTTGTTGGACTGGTAGTTTAAAATACTCCGACATTTGTTGAATAGCCTATAAAGGTTGAATATTAAGTAAATATTTCTGGATTATTCCTCCTCTACATGTTTTATGTTGTATGTCTTGGATTGTATGTTGTTCGGTCGATCTATTTAGCCATCTTTTATATATCGATTATGGTCAAAACAGGGTACAATAATATTCAATATTATTTATTAAGCTTTAAAGTCCTGTCTGAACTATTTAGCTGCAGTCTGCTTCACTATAATTAGGGCGATATATATCAATTGTTTTAGAGGGTCATTTGGTTGGATTTATATAGTACATGATTCCGTCGTATGGCTCTGCCTTGGAAGTAGCGAGCTATTACAGGTTCAATTCAACTAGTTAATAGATTAGTGAATGGCTCTGCTTGATACAATCATGTCATCATTTGTTCTTATCGTGAGGACAGCTATAATAATAATACAAAAAAGATTCGAATTTACCAAGAAGGTCTATTTGGCAAGTGTTTAATATGTCTGTATCTATATATGTAGACCAACTGATTTTCAATGCCGGTTGGATCAAGTTTATTTATAGTTCTCTTTGTTTTATTTCTTTTTATTATTATTTTTTAAATCCACGATAACCTACATTTGAGTTCACATCATTGTCTTTAGCTAGCTGTTTGTACGGCGTAAATGGTTCTTCATCCCGATTAGTTAGCCATGGGTGTAGCTGTACATCCAAGAGTGGGATACGTAGTTCTGGGTTCGACTCAATGCACGCCCTTAAAAGCTCTTGGCAATCTAGAAAAAAAAAAAAAAACAACCACATTTTATAGTCCAATGTTAAAGATTTATCTTCTTGTATCTATTCATTTTATTTTATTTTTTAAATTTTTCTTTGTGATAAAAATGAAAATAAAATTTTTAATATTTGAAGTACTTTTTATACTGTATTTAAGCTGGAATTCTAAACTGCAAGTTATAGCACACATCGCTCACATCACGAACACAACCAAAGTAGATTGTGTTAGTTCGTGCAATCAAGAAAGCGCGTCAAAATACGCGTTGTTGTTAAGGACTTTTTGTGTGGTAAAGAATACAAAATTGCTTGACAACCAATACGCGCTCGTTTTGACGCGCTTTTAATTTCCGTCCAATTTTATTAACCTTTAAACGACATTTTAAAGAGACAAGCAACATCTTAACATTTTTAGCATTTTTAAAGTTTTTATAGCAGTTTGTTTTACCTTTCTTAACATAAATGTTAATTGATTTAGCAAATCTTGCATTTTAAATGATCTTATCAGTTTAATGTTTTTAATTGTTTTGTAATGAGGTGCCACTGTTACAAAAGTGCAGCTTCAATAAATTATTATTATAAGGGTGCTTTTGATTGTACGACGACGGTAACGCCTAGAACGCAATAACGTCACTGAGAAGTCATCTGCTCATGCGAGAACGTGGAGTTGTCGTTGTGGCCTTCATAAGGCCTGTTTTCCACTAGGCGAATTTATTCCCGCGAATCGAAAGAGTCGGTTCGCTACGAGCTCTGATTTGGTTACGCATTTTTTCGCTTTTCGCAAACAATAGAAACTACATTAATGACTTTGCTGAATAAAAAAAAAATACCGATAGAAATGTCGATCCGCATGCACATCATGAACAGACGCTTTCGATTCGTGCGAATAAATGTGACTAGGCAAAGCCTGTTTTCTCACTAGGCGAAATAATTCGCGCGAATCAAAGGCGTCAGTTCGGTTCCTGCAAGTAGTAGAAACAGTTCAAACTACCGATTTCGCTGCAGCGAAAACTCCAATAAAAATATGAATGCGCATGCTCATGAACCGGCGCTTTCGACTCGCGCGAATAAATTCGGAAGTGGAAAACAGGCTATACACAGGCTTCAAGGTCGTTTTCCACTAGACGAATATTTGCACGAATCAAAAAGTTTTGCTTTACGCATGAGCAATGTAATTTTCATCCCCAGATTCTCAATAGCGCAGTTTAGTTTTAGTCACAAGATTCTCAATTGCGCATGCGTGTCGGTAAAAATTTTATATTCGCACGAATTTGGTTAGTGGAAAACGGCCTGTATGTAGGACGCAATTCACCCGAATCTACGTTGTGCAGAGAACGTAGGAAGGTTACGGAGGGATACTCCATCATCGCGTCATTGCGCACATGGAAGGCTCCATAGTGACGAAGTTAGGCCTGCGGTCCCATTACATTATAACAAGCTGGCTTACCAGTACTAAGATTCTGCAAATCTGCGTCATGCCTGGATCCAAGACCAAACTGGATTTGTTGGAGTAAATGAAGACGGCGATTCTCACTATGTGGTGTTGTGAAGGGTAGGCGGCCAGTTACCATCGCAAACATACATATGCCCCTATTATTTAAAGAAGACAGATAATAAATAGTTTTTCGTTCATTGTGCCTTGATCTTTGACCCTGAATCTTCAAAATGTAATAACTTCCAGAATTTTAGTCATGGAATCTTGTGGCTGAGTTTGTGATGAACTCTGTCCACAGTAGGTAGTTATAGTAGTTATCTGTCGATTATTACCTTGACATTGATCCTGACCCTTCAACATTGAATCATCTTTAGATTGTTAATCATGGAATATATTTTGACCATGTTTTAAGAATTTCTGACAAAATTTGTTGGTTGTAGGCTGTTACATATTTAAACAGTAGTTTTACGTTGATTGTGACCTTGGCCTTTGACCATGACTCTTCAAAATGTAATCACCTCAAGATCTTAGTCATGGATCATCATGACTACGTTTGAGAGGTTTCTGATAAAAACTGTGGCCTGTAGGCTGTTCACAGACAAACAAACAGACAAACAAACAAATAAACACAGGGGCGAAAACAACCTTTTCGGCGGAGGTAATAATTATGTATACGCACGTGTGTACGTAGACGCATGCCTAACTTGCTATATGTACGACTGGACAAATGAAAAGAGAGAGGGTTGAGATTGTTTACCGTACCCTAGTTACCTAATTCTCTCCTATGATTTTTCTTGTGATTTATTAGATATGTATGATCACAATTTCTGTACATCAAGCAATCGGATTTTATGCCATCTGTTTTGATTATTAACATTAAAGTTAATAATTAAAGTAGCTAATAAAAAGACTAATGAAATCTGATTTATCAAATGTTAAACTGAGTACTGTAATTAGCAAAAGAATATATACTGACATATCATATAATGTGGAGAATATGAGTTTTATTGAAATAAATAAATAAATAAAAAGTAAATTTTCTTGTTTTGGTCACTGATCGTGGTTTTGGCATGGCAAGCTCCAAATTACTTAGTCGATAAAACCATAAAACTGCACACTTACATGCTCCAAATATCAACTTCTGGTCCGTAGTTCTGTCCAGCAATAAACAGTTCAGGCGCAGCATATTCCGCGGAACCACAGTGGGTTTGAAGTATTTGGTCCGAATCGTAAGTATTGCTCAATCCAAAGTCTTAAAAAACACAATAATTAATTACGACCTTTACGAAGTTTCAGTTTGAATGGTAATAGAGGGCGCTATTATGACTTTAGAAATAATGTAAAAGTGGGGGTTCCCACTATTAGCTGAAAATCATAAATCATCATAGATTCTGTTTGAAGCAATATGTGAACAAAATGTGGTATATTATGTGTGCCACCATATTAAATTAAAGGACAGGCTACTGATAATACTTCCACGGGGATTCTTAAAAGAAATTAGTCGTGCATTATTGGCTGTGTTTAAATTTTCATTATAAAGCACCAGTACTGAACTGAACTTTATTGGAACACTTTTGTATCAGTGGCACACACCATCTGGTGATGCATCCAAATAACAAGCAACATTTCACAAAATACAAAGAAAATATTTAAAAAAACCAATCAAGTATCAAAAAAACGAATCAAAATGATAGAAAGTAAACATTAATTAGTACGATGGAAGGAATATTCCATGACTAAGAGATGGGCTGCCCAAATCTACAAGGCGGAGCCTAGCCGAATGAAGCAGTCTATCGAACTATCAGTAATCGAACTAATATGTTGGAACTGCAAACCCTTTCTGTATACATGGCATTGCTTACCTACAATTTTTATGTTCTTGTGTTTTGCGTCCAACATTATGTTTTCCATCTTCAAATCCCTTTAAAAAAATAAACGAAATTAATGAATAATTTAAATGTAAATTATAAAAATAAGTAAAAAGTTCGCATAGATCAACATCATGACCTATCAACTTAAACAAAATACAACAAGCTCAAACCACATTTTATCTTTCTCAAAAAATAACATACGACGTACAAACGCATCCAGACACAATTTTACGGCTTAGTCATACAGCACTTCAATCATTAATTTGAGCCAAATATTATGCCCCTTATTTATTTTGTTTTAAATATACACAGGTATATCTTGAATGGTAAGGTCTGGAAAAAAAATAGAATTTACTCATCTAAAATGGTACCATTGAATGGTTTTTTAAATATATATAGTCCTAATTTAAGTGTTTATGGAAAGTCAACTTTAAAAAAATACGGTTTCTATTAACTTACAGCTCCTTACTATGGAAATCCATTGATTTATAGGCCCAATTTAAGTGTTTATGAAAAGTCTTTATATTTTATTTTATATATATA